GTGTAGCTTGGCAAAAACAAATTTCTTTAGCAGAAACAGGAGTCCCTATACAGCTTCACATCTAATTTACCAGAGCCCTTAGACACATTGAATGTATTCCCAAACCATCTAATTTACTTACCGTCTGTAAAGTGTGATTAGTAGACACCTTACACAATCAATGCTGTACTTTATCTTATGTTACATTTGCAATCAACATTTGAATGTTGAATGTCTAGTTCATCTTAATGCAATATATTATGTTTTGGGCTAATAACCTGTTCTTAGGAAAATAAACAGGCCCAGTATGTTAAGAATTACAATAAACAGGCAAGAGAATTAGCCTGTGGACTAAGGTGAGTGGAAGGGGTGAGGAGAGGAGGGGAGAGAGAAGGCAGGAGAGTTGGTGGACCTAAGTAGGACAGGCAGAGCCACTAGTCCCAAGGTTTGAGGTGGGCCCGTGGGCTCAGTAAAGGGTCAGCTCATTTTGCTCATAGAGGATCTTGGCAGAGTGCAGGAGCCTCCTCTACCTGTTATGAGGGTAATGAATGCATCATCCCCTTCTCACTGCCTGATTTCTTGTGGAAGGCTGGAAGCCTAACATTTCTCACAGCATGACACGTCTTGCCACAGTACTGGCCTTAGCTGTCAAGTTGTGGTAACAAGCATAGACTCCTTCCATCTGGTATCAAGGCTTTGCCTTAATAATTCAGGGAATAGAATAAACTTTTTAAGCAACTGCCCAGACTGGAGGCTTCCCTGCCCTGGAGCTTGTTGTGTAGGCAGGAAGATAGTGGTGGACCTGCGTGATAAGACAAAGGCACTGCATCTGACAGAAAGGACCAGCTTGCTTGGCTGGTATATTCATCTAGAAGTGAATGATCAACAGCAATAGTCACTGTCATGTCACTCCTGTTCTATGAGGAGGCAGCTATACCTTTACTATGGATCTGGACACTGGTAAAACCACTGTTTACACTGGTAAAAGCAGTTTCCTAGGCCTATTCTTGGATGACTCTGCAATAGACCTTCCCTGGACAGAAAGAGAGAGTAAAGACTCCTAGAAAAGTAGGGGAGGGCTTGACTCAAATTATAAATAGAATCACAGAATCATAGAATCATAGAATAGCTTGGATTGGAAGGGACCTGCCAAAACATATCGGCATGATGATTGTCTGATTTACTTTACGATTTTTGGATGACAAGCCATGGTGATTACCTCTCACAATTGAACAGCACAAGACAGTTCTCCACTGAGCACCTTTTCCCTGCTTTGGTGGTACATGTACACTACTACATGTGAGGTACGTACTGTGTATATTTGATAGTCCTCACTCAGTTGTCCCAATAAGCTGACCATCCAGTTGTACTTCTGTCCAACTTTACTGTCCAACATTACAGGACATTACTATGATGTAATAGACAGAATGGAGACCAGAAAGGAGACTGACCTCTGTTTGAAGTCTGCATAAGGATTCTGCTGGGGAATCCCTTCCTGCAAATTCTGATCCCTTCCAGCACACCATTACAGCGCAGCTGGTGTAGCACCAGTTCATGCTCCATGGCACCTAAGCAAATAAGACAGTATTTGATACTTCATGATAAAACACAGATAATAATAGCTGCATCACACTATGATTTCTCTCTACTTGAGGTTCTTACCAGGTGTTTTCGTTTCATTGGGGATGATACAGCGCACAAAATGGGGGTGAGTGCTCCGTAGATTGGTCATCAGCTTGTTTAGGTTCTCCTGTGGGTTCATGAGTAAAGATTTTTCATTAACAGATGGTACCTCTGCAGTTATACTGTCAGATGTGAGAAATGTATTGTAAAGCAATAATGGATTAATTATACTCACCTATAGGCATCCTAATTCGAGTTTTCTTCTGCTTTGAAGTCTTGAGTATGAGAGAAAGTCACAAAACTGTGTAATGTGTTTTCATGAGACCGAGGGATACATCCACTCAGACAGGATACCTATGGTGTCCAGAAGTTCGTGGCAAAAGGCATAATTCTGAGTGAAAGATGATTCTTTGTAATCATCAGATTCTCACTCTATGGAAGACACTGACTGTTGATGGGAACAGCAAAACCAAACATAGAACAAAAGGGAAGAGGGGCAAGGACCAAGTTTGCAGAGAAGGCTGGGAAAGGGAAGCTTAATGGCATTACGTGCTACTTGTGAAGATATATTTGACAAAGGTTGAGCAGGGAAAGACAAGGAAGACTCCCAGTGAGAATGGGGGTCATGAGTTGTAGAGAAAAGGCATGAATGGCAGGTCCTACAGCACCCCTTTCTAGAAGTGTTTTTAAAAGCAAACTCATGAAATATCTCTGATTTTAGGAATCACTTTTACTAACTAGGTCCTAACAGTTCTCAGTTTGCCCTGGTTTGGGGCAGGGGCAAAGCTGCTCAGACAAATACCTCTTTCATGGTGTGAAAAACTGTTCAGGATGCCAGATAGTAGCTAGATGTCACAGATGCTGAAACCAGGGTGTTTCCATCTGCCTTAAGCTCTGTCCACTGGTTGAAGGGTAACTGGCTTTGGCATTTCCCTATTGCCTTGTCTTCATATGTATAATCACGTGCAAATAATTATGTTATGTATTATGTGTTATGTATTATCATGTGCAAATGCACATACATTTATATGTGCTGATCCAGACTTGAGGTTCCCTGAGGCAAGTAGCCAGATCCACCATTGTCCTCCCAAGGCAGAGGGGGGACAGCTTGATCCTACCAACAGGTATAGTCATGAGTAAATGAAACTGTAACCTGACCTAAGTACTTTTTCTAACATTTGAAGAAAGGCTAGATCAAGATGTATCTTCCTCAGCTGGCCTCAGCTGACTTGTAGTCAGCTCTTTTATGAATAACTGAAGAGATGTTCTTGATGAAGAAAAACATTAATAGGTGCAGTAAAATGGCCTTGTTGGAGTTAGTGTGAGGTTTCACAATCTTCAACTAAAAAAAAAAAGAGGAAAAAAATGGAGAGAATGACTTCTGGACTTACCCTGAAAAGAGCTGATACAGTCTGGAAAGAAGAACCCTTCTTTTTGCCTCCCTTCTTGCCACCACCACCACTCTCTGAAGAACACCAAAGAAAGATGGTTTTACAACTTTGATTTGTAAAATTTTTCTCTGTGAGACTGCAAGAAGCTTGTTCATATGTATCAGTCATGCTAAGAAAGGAACCTAGGATGCAGTGGGAAACAGATTCAACACACAGCCTAAAGGAACACAAGACCAAAGGTGTGTGATAATCCAAGGGATTATCATGGCTGAGTAGAAGGCTTGAAATACATTTGATCTTTTCTTGTGTTAATAAATTCAAGCCATGGGGACTCTGCACAACATGCAGTTTCTTTAGAACACTCTAGCTGATATTCATGGCTCTGGTGGAGTCATTAAATAAAAATGAAAATATGAATTTCACAGAACTGACCTGCCTCTCCTCCAACAGAGGCAAAGAGTAAGGCCAGTGTCTTCATTGATGATTTCTGGTACAGCCCCACAACAGTTTCATTGAGGGGGTCCTTGTTCTTGTCAAACCAGCCAGAGATGTTGTAGTCCACTGTACCAGCATAGTGCACCAGGGAGAAGTGGGCCTCAGCCTTGCCTTTGGCAGGCTTGGGCTTCTGGAAGTTGTTGGACTTGCCCAAATGTTGGTCGTAGAACTTGTTCTTGAAAGAGGTGTCAGTTGCCTTGGGGAACATGCACTCCTCTTCCAGGATGGAGAAGTTGCCCATGGGCTGGAAGAAGCAGAAGGAAGGAGGAAAAGGTGAAAAGGCAGAAAGAATCACAGATAAAGAAATAGGTTCCTGAGTGGGACAATATTAATGTTCTCAGGGATTGTTCTGCTCAGCAGAGCAAACTGTAAAATAATCTAAAGTTATGTATTTACAATATCACATTTACCCTTTCAAGAGACATTTACAAATACATAAAAAATCAGTGCATTTCTGAGAATATTAGACATTGTGAATTACACAAATACCTTCTCAATGAGCTCAATGCAGGATGCCAGGTCCATCCCAAAGTCAATGAATGTCCATTCAATTCCCTCCTTCTTGTACTCCTCCTGCTCCAGCACGAACATGTGGTGGTTGAAAAACTGTTGCAGTTTCTCATTGGTGAAGTTGATGCACAGCTGCTCCAGGCTGTTGAACTGCACAATTACAAATAGAGATTACTATTAATGTAAATTTAGAAAGCTAGGGATAAAGAACAGTGCTGGCTTTTTGTACCAAATTACAGGAGAATCTGTGAGTGTTCCTTCTTTGCTCAGCCAGGAGTTTGGAACTTCTGTCAGTGTGTCTCTTTTGTCAAGCTAAACTTTATCTGTATGTTTATGATCCCTAGAAGCTCAGGCCACTTTAATATTTCAGACTTGTCAGTTTTGATTTCTGCTAGGCTGGGCTAACTCAGTTACGGGACAGTCCACAGCGCAACAGTTTATCCAACATTTCCAAATGCTGATTTCAAAGTATGTCCCAAGCCTTCTAAGCACAAATTGTGTCTATGGAACTGGTGTCTCTGCATTAGGTACTAAATGCCACATTAGTCTACTGTTCTTAATCAGTCAAAAAACTGCATTTATGGATTTCCATTGGCATATGTGCAACACAATATGTTGTTTTTAAAACCTGTGGGAATCATGGTGCTTTAGATGCAATCTGAAAGGATCAAACCATTTCTGGGAAAAAAAAAAAAAAAAAAAAAGACATCATTCCTTCTTAAGTACTTTGGCACACAATAGAGTTACTCTAAAAGCATGGTAATAAAACACTGTTCTTACATCAAAGATCTCAAAGCCAGCAATGTCCAGGACACCAATGAAGTACTGTCTGGGTTGCTTGGTATCCAGCTGTTGGTTGATGCGAATAACAATCCACAAGAACATCTTCTCAAACACAGCTTTTGCCAAGGCACCTACTGAATTGTATGCCTAAAATAAAAAACAGAAGGCTTGTAGTTATCATGCAGAGCAAAAGAGGAAGTCCAGAGGATTTGTCAACAAAACAGGGATTTTTGTTACCTGCTGCACGGTTTGACCCTTGGTCACATATTCATTCCCAACCTTGACTCGAGGGTAGCAGAGGGCCTTGAGCAGGTCAGCTGAGTTCAGACCCATCAGGTAGGAAGCCTTGTCAGCAACTAAAGACCAAAAAAATCAGTTGTTAAGGTACAAGTAGACGTTAGTGTTCCTTTAAAACAAGTATTAAAAGACAATTCTAGTAAAGATAAAAAGATTAGTTAGGATTAAAAAGTAATGTATTTGTAGTTCATCATAAACTACATTCCCCAGTAATTATGGAGCATTTATGTTGGCTATTTTTTCTTCACCTATTCTTAGTTTATTTTGAATTTTGAATGAAAAATCAGTTAAGAGACATTTAGGTAGGCAGACCTCAATAATAAATGCTGACAAAGAAAAAAGAAAGATAAGCCTGGGATGAAGATCAGGTTGCAGAAAATTGCAGATCCTCTCAGAAGCAAATACAGTGCAATTTGTTTCAGTGACTTGTGGTAGGGTAACTTCAAAGACATAATACTCAAGAAAGCACAATGCATAAGTGTCAACTATGCCTTTATGAATCTACAGCTAAACATATGAGATAAAGGGCTATTTTTAGAAGTGCATCCTCAAACAAAAAGTTTGGCATTTTACATTCTGCTATTGCTTTTACTATTGAATTCAAACTCTGCCAGCAGGCACAGTATGTAAAATGATTTGTTCAAGAATGTTTATATGTCATATGAAATCATGATAAAAAAGTATAGCAGATTGCTGCATAAATATTGGACATGATCTAGCAGTCTGAAATTGTGTCGAGATATTTAGGCTAGAAATTGGGGAAAAATTTCCAATGAGTAAGGATAGTGAAGTACTGGAATAGATTGCATGTTTTCCTCAATGTTTTCAAAAGGAGATAAGGAAAGATTGCCAGTAAATGGAGTCCACAGTAGGTGGAGAAGATGAACTGTCACAGACCTCTCCCAGCTTTATGAGCAAATAAAACTAGCAAAATAAAAGATGACTTTGCCACACTGAGAAATTTGTTCACAGGTTCAGAGTAATCCTCAGAAGAGGATTACAGTGTAGAACTGATTTCAATGGAATCAGCATTAACTACAGTGCTCCAACTGTTTCCATGATTTGGTCAGCAAAATACCATCACTTAAGTAAAGATAAAACTATGATTAGTAGCCTATTCTACTATTACTATTCATCATTATCAGATTAATTGCCATTGTATTCCTTGCAGTCATTTTCACTTATGTCTTAACTTTCCTAAAAAATCCCCAAACCACACCAGACTAAAAAACAACTCAAGAATAAAACCACACCCTTAATAGTACATGTTTATGATATATGCAAATGACTCTGGTTGCATGGAAATACTCCCATGAAATTTAAAGGAATGCACCTTTGAAAAATTCTAGGCCAAGCAAAGGCGATAGACACCTCTTAGATGTCTATTTTTCAAACAGAAGTCCTGGAGACACGCTGAGACTCTGCAGAAAATACAGAACATATGAGCCACAGCTGCAGTGTTAACTGATGTTCCTTTTTAACCCCCCATGTGAAATAAGTAGCACAATGCGCTCGGCTCAGGCATTGTGAGTTGTCTCCAGAATACGGGCTTTGAAGCAGAGCAGCTTCAGGATTCTGGCTTCTTGTCACCTGGGAACAATACCATTAGGAGGTGACTACAGCTGATGGTAAATGGTAGTAGCTACCTGGGTACATAAACTTAAGTCAGCGAGCAGAGTGGCTCCCGGTTCTGTGCCAGGTCTGGGAAGCTGCCATTCGGTATGGCAGCAAAGCTTGCTTTTCTTCTGCCTGACTCCTACTGTGTCAGCCAATGGAAGCGTGCTTTAGGATTCACCGGACCTTATACTTTACACAGTTCAAAATAATCTGCATCTTCCAGTGAGCTGTGTTCTTCCAGCGAAGTCCTCTGGTTAGGACACACTTATATTCTACGACACTAGCATCTGGGGAAATGCGCAGGCTGAGTCAATGATTCTGGCCCTGAATTACTGTCTGTATTAGTGAGTGTTCCGGCATATACTGTGCTCCGGTATATATCGTGCTGGTACCTTCTGTGCCGTCCGGCTCTGCCTGCTCCTCACGCTGCTTCTGCTTAAACTTCAGGTTGCCGTAGTGCATGACAGCCCCCGTCAGCTTGTAAATGGCTGTCTTCTCATCAGGAGTGAAGCCCAGGATGTCAATGGCACTCTAACGAAAGAATCATTAGAGTAAGTAATGATTACTGTTAAAGGTCAGAGTCCGCCTAAGAAAACTTCTGTGCGTTACTTACGTCCGTGGCCATCAGCTCTTCCTGGTCATTAATGCTGGGAACCGTGATCTCACCTTGACTCACATACTGATAGTCATATGGGTTGGTGGTGATCAGTAACGTGATCTGATAAAATATGTGGTAGCTTCTTTCTGCCTTGAGCTGGAAAGTGACTCTGGACTTCTCCAGCAGATCTGGCAAGGACGGTAGGACAAAGTTAGGCACAGGAACGCACGTGGAGGTGGGAATTTGGGAAGGAACGGGATCAGACAAGGGGAGTCTCTTACAAGTCTCAATGTCCGCAGAAGCCAGTTTGCCTGTAGCTCCAAAGTGGATTCTGATGAATTTGCCCTGTTAAGGAGAAGCAGCAGCATTTCAGCCTAGATGCATTTCATTCTCATGTCCTTATGTGAGAATACCACTAGCCCATCACTACTGTTATAATGAGGAGAGATTTTGTCCAAAGCAACAACTTACAAAGCGCGAGGAGTTGTCGTTCCTCACTGTCTTGGCGTTTCCAAAGGCCTCCAGCAGTGGGTTGGCGCTGATGATTTGATCCTCAAGCGTTCCCTGCAGGACAATAATTATTGCTGGTTATCCTTTCCAAAAATCATGTCAGGAACAGAGGAAAGCATTGATTCAAGCCAGTATCTATAAGTTTACCTGCATTTTGCCAGACTGCTCCTCCTTCTTCTTCTCCCCACTCGCTGCAATTGTTGCAAAGTACTGGATGACACGCTTTGTGTTCACAGTCTTCCCTGCACCGGATTCTCCGCTGTCAAACCAAGGAGAGAGGCAGAGAGCGTGTGGTCAGGCAGGAGGGCCCCTGGCACCGAGCAGCCCCACAGGGCCCGGGCAGGGGGTGTACGTACGTGATCAGGATCGACTGGTTCTCGCGATCTGTGAAGGAGGCATAAACAAATAGACTTTGTAAATGAAGAACACAAAAAGACTGAAAATTAATGCAGTGAATGTAAGTTATGACACGAAAAAAATCTGCATATTTTTTCATTTACTCCTAATAATTTTTTTTCAATTTCAATTCCTTGCAAAGCAATTTGCACCACATTCTTACCTCTAAACATACCCACAACACTCTTGCCTCTAAATTAGAGAGATACGGATTTGATAGATAGACAAGGAATTGGCTGGACGGCCGCATCCAAAGAGTTACAGTCAAAGGCTCAATGTCCGAATTGTTAACGAGTGGTGTCCCTCAAGGGTTCGTACTGGGACCAACACTATTTAATACCTCCATTACTGACATACATAGTGGGATTGAATGCACCCTCAGCAAGTTTGCAGATGACACCAAGCTGAGTGGTGCAGTTGATATACCAGTGGGAAGGATTGCCATCCAGAGGGACCTTGACAGGTTTGAGGAATGGGCCTATGTGAACATGATGAAGTTCAACAAGGCCAAGTGCAAAGTCCTGCATCTGGGTCGGGGCAATCCCCAATATTTGTTCAGACTGGGGGATGAATGGATTGAGAGCAGCCCTGCAGAGAAGGACTTGGGGGTACTGGTGGATGTAAACTTGGATACAAGCTGGCAATGTGCACCTGCAGCCCAGAAAGCCAATCAGATCCTGGGCTGCATGAAAAGATGACTGGCCAGCAGGGCAAGGTAGGTGATTCTGCCTCTCTACTCTACTCTTGTGAGACCCCACCTGGAATAATCCCTCCATCTCTGGGGTCTCCAATACGAGAAAGACATGGACCTGTTAAAGCAGGTCCAGAAGAAGGCTATGAAAATGTTCCGAGAGGTGGAACACCTCTCCTATGAAGAAAGGCTGAGAGAGTTGGGGTTGTTCAGCCTGGAGAAGAGAAGGCTCCGGGGACACCTTACTGTGGCCTTTCAATACTTAAAGGGGGCTTATAAGAAAGACAAAGATTTTTACCAGGGCCTGTAGTGACAGGACAAGGGGCAACAGTTTTAAACTGAAAGAGGGTAGGTTTAGATTGGATATAAAGAAGAAATGGTTTATGATGAGGGTGGTGAACCACTGGAACAGGTTGCCCAGAGAAGTTGTGGATGCCCCATCATTAGAAGTGCTCCAGGTCAGGTTGGACAGAGCTTTGAGCAACCTAATCTAGTGGAAGATGTCCCTCCAATGCTGGAGGGAAGGATTACATGATTTTTAAAGGTCCCTTCCAGCCCAAAACATTCTATGATGCTATAATTCTATAATGTTTTTCCATGAACAATGAAAACCCTTGAAGGACCATATGCTTCTTCCCTACTACACTCTATGGTCTTTTTTCTCCTGAATACAGTAAATTGTTTCTGGTTTTGTTTTTTTTTTTTAATTTTCTGCTACACAGACTGTATTTAGAGCAGTAGAGAAAGGGAGCGTAAGGACCCACGACAAAGTAATCCTGAGTGTGGGTAATAGTTCTGAACTCAAAAACACAGAGAAAGGAAAGAATGAAAAGGTGGAAGGAAAACTAGCAGCAATATATAATTCTATTTCCTTGTTTTATGTCTTGGTTTTATCAAGACAAATCTGAATATTTGTGATATTGATTTTTCCTGTAGCCCTTTGGTGAAATAACTTCACGTCGTTAGACAGGATTTTCACATCACATATGGATTTTATACCCTGTTCACTTTCACTATTTTATTACAGACATAATTATATCCCTTGCTCCACCTAGTCCATTTGGCTTATCATTTTTCCTGACACACTATCTGTTGTAATATACCTCCTTTTTAGAAATACTGACGTGAAAAAATTCTGTTTAAATTAGCAGTGATTAATGCTATGACTGAAATAAAACTCTAAAAGCGTGTTAAGAAAATATCAGCATATTTATCAAGGAAACTCTGTGATTACTTTTAAAACGTCTTTTTGATAGAATTGCTCTGAGAGCCACTCACCAGTGAGCATGAACTGATAGGCGTTGTCAGAGATGGAGAAGATGTGTGGAGGGGCCTCCTGGCGCTTCTTGCCTCGGTAGGCCAACACCACCTCCGGGTTGTACACCGGCAGCCACTTGTAGGGGTTGACAGTGACGCAGAAGAGACCCGAGTAGGTCTGCGAGGAAGGGAGACAGTACGTTGGCTTCCACTTAGCCTGGCAGAGCAGTTCCTCCTAGCTACCCAAAGGAAGACTGCTGCTGGTACTTACGTAGATCATCCAGGCTGCATAACGCTCTTTGAGGTTGTACAGCACAGCGGGTTCGTGGAGGTGGGTCATCATGGCCATGTCCTCGATTTTATCGTACTTGGGAGGGTTCATGGAGAAGATCTGATCTTCCTTCACGGTCAGAGTCTGTCAGAGGAAAGAAAGGTACGTGCATGTCAGCTAAGATCTGAGAGTGGGAATTAAATGCTGTTTGTAAATTCTGCATTTTACCCACCTCTCCACCTTCAGTCTTGACAGTGACCTTCCCGGATTCCTTGCTCTGGATTGTGCTTTTCACATAGGATTCCTTTGCATGTACCACAAAGACGGATGTCTTGGCATCAAAAGGTTTGTTCTGGGCCTTGATTCTCTCCTTTTCTGACTTTCGGAGGTAAGGAGCTGCCTCCCCAAAGATGGCCATCTCAGAGTCTGATGACACGGCTGCAGTTTATTGAGTGCAGCACGGCACGCGGCTGAAGTGGAGAGACACCACAGTGCTGAGTGAAGGACGAAATGCCTTTGTACCACACACCTGACTTTCTGCAGTGTTCTGCTCTGCCTATTCTTACGGTCTCCCTCTCTGCCTTATCTGCTTTTCACCCTAGATATCCTCTAATCTATTTAGATCCTAAAGAAGATAGGTGTCTTTGATTTAGATTATTTTAACTTTCTGTCCCCTATTCCAGTTTACATGTTCAGTTCTTTATATGTAGTAGTGTTTCCGTAGGCTATACAGAAAATTTGAATTGATTGGCACAATATAAAAATTTTCTATACGAAGCAGCAGAGATACCAAGGGAAGTCATCTTCCTGAAATTTTGAAAGCCCACTTACATCCTTTCTCTCTTGCACATTTTAGACCATGTAATTTGTATCAACTATAGAGATGGAGCAACATAAGAAAAAAGGTGTGGAGTAAGCAGAAGCACAAGTGTGAATTGTCTATGCAAAGCTTTTTCCTCAGTTAGAAATCAGAGTTTTAGCTTCTCCACTTGTTCTGCCTTTTCCAGTTCAACCTGATCCTTTAAGATTAACTTGTACCAAAACAGGAAAACTTCTCAATAAAAAACACTCAGAGGGATTTGATAAAATCCTTACTATATATGTGCTGTTCATTCATCTTCTGTTTCCTGGATTTCTGTTTATAGGCAATCTCCTGTTAACAGTTCTGTGTGGTAAGAGGTCAACTATTTCCCAGCAGGTACCAAACAAATGTGCCCAACCCAAAGATGAAACGAAATTTGCTGTTTTAGACAGCACAGCTCAGGTAGAATTGCACTGCACTAGTATGCACAGATGTAAAGGGATGTGGGAAGTGCCCATACAGCTGCATAAAAAAAAAACATCTTGGAGAGTTTATTCCTATGGAGTAGGTAAATCAGAATCTTACCCCTTGTGATACCAGCTGGCTCTCAGGCTGGAAGATGGTCAATACTGAAAAACAGAAATGACAACTTCTTTCTTATTTTTGCACAGAATCCCAAGGATAAGTCACAGGGCAAAAATATGCCGGTGACTTGAAAGCATAAAGAAAATCTCTATTGATACAGACAGTCTTTTGAGGAAAGCAGTTCCACAGGAA